CCCCCCCCTCCCTCCCTGCTCCTCCGGGAGGCACCCAAGGCTGACATCCTTCTCGCCCCCCTCCCGCTCCCTGCCTCAGTCCGCCGAGAACCCCACGATCTCCGAGGAGTTCCCGATCGAGAACCAGTTCCGCAGCCTGGTCATCGGCCCGGCCGGTGTCAACATCAAGAAGATTACCAGCTCCACCGGGGCTCGTATCCACCTGGGCATGAATGCCTCGACCGCCACCATCAGCGGCTCGCGCGAGTCCATCGACGCCGCCAAGCAGGCCATCACCGAGCTGATCGCCACGGCTGCCACCAACGTGCGCGATGGCTACACCGAGCCCCTGACCGCGGAGCAGCTTTCCGCCCTGGCCGAGTACCAGAACGCCACCGAGTTCTCCGGCCGCCACCGCGTCAACATCTCGCTTCCCCTTCTGGAGGATCTGGCCCGCGGCCCGGCCCACTCGCGCGTGCGCATCATCGGCCTGCACAGCCGCGTGCGCTCTGCCCTGGCTGATCTCCAGGAGAACCTCCAGATCAGCGGCGCTCATGGCGACCTGCGCGCTGCCAACGCCGCTGCCGCCGCGGCTGCCGCCGCCGCCGCCGCCGCCGAGGAGGAGGAGGAGCAGCACGCCGAGACCCCGGCCGCGGCCGAGTCGTCGGACTCCTTCAGCGCCGCGACCACCGCCGGCGACTTCGCCACCTCCGGCATGTCCGCCTCCGAGGCCGCCACCGCCGCCTTCTTCACCTCCGGCTCCACTCCCTCCGGCGCTGACGCTTTCTAAGTGTGTCTTCACGCGCACGTGTGTGTATGCGCGCGCGCTCTTGGCTCCGCTGTGCGTGGGGGCGCGCTTTCTGCTGTGCATGTGCCCATTTGCAGCGTCGTCCCGCCTCATCCTTCACAGGCGTGGCTCTTCTCCCTTCCTCCCCGTGTCTCGCTCAGAGAGGCCAAGGGGGAGGGGGATGCGCCGGGGCTGGAGAGGAGAGGGCGGAGCGCGGGGAAGGAAAAAGCGAAAGCAACTCCTCGTGTCTCCCCCTTCCCTTGTCAAAATATGCGCGTCTCGTCGTTTTTTTTCGTGCACCGGTGCCCCCTCCCCCCTCCCCCCCCCCCCCTCCATGCATGTCCCCTGCTTCTCCGATGTAAATACATTCTATGATCTCCCTCCCCTCCCCTTCCCATCAGCGTGTGTGCGTGGCGGGGGCCTCCCACATATAATACCATGCACAGGGGGGACGAAAACACATATGCGTGTATACATGTGCCCATTCATCGATGGATCCATGGCGCGGGGATGGGTGTGGTGCGGGTTTTTGCGGGCCACGTTGCGCGGAGAAGCGCCAGGCGGAAGACACGGCGCCACCTGCCGGGGGGGGGGGGGGGAGGTATAACGTCAGGCCGAAAAACAAACAAACAAACATCACCCGTGAGTGACACCAGGCCGAAGGATGCTCGGGATGGTGGGGGCCAGCGGCGGCCGGAGAACCCCGCCCGTCGATGTGTCCGAGGGGTCGGTGCTGGTCAGGCAGTACTTGTACACCACCAGATCCGTGCGACCGTGGATGAACTTGACCGTGTGGCGGTCTGCCTGGTGGTCGCCCTTCCAGGGGCCGCTGATCCGGGTGCCAACCAGCGTGGTGAAGGAGGGCGGGGCCTTGGCGTCGCCGGAGCCCGAGTGGTGCGAGCCGCTGGACGCCGGCAGGGCTGACTGAGCGGTGCTGTCGCGCAAGTCATCCAGGAAGGGGCCTTCGTATTTGCCGGACTCGGTGTTGAGCACACCGCGGCCATTGCGCCGGCCATATGTCCAGTCGCCGGTGTACCGCGTCGAGGTGGAAGACCAGACCCCGCGGCCATGGCGCTAGGAAGGGCGTGCACGGGAAGGCAGCACACGCAGACGAAAGCATAGGGGGCGGGGGGGGGGGCGGGGGGGCGGGGGGCATCCAAATCGCAGGTCAGCCGCCAGTGCAGGGAGCATGGGTGGGAGGCCTTCACGGGCAGCCGATGTACGCACCTTCCCCAGGGCAAAGGTGCCGGAGTAGGAGGAAACCACAAGATGCTCGGTGCCGGAGCCGTCCTTCTGGCCGTTCTTGAAGGCGCCCTCGTAGTTCGATCCGTCCGGGCTGATGAGCTGCCCATGTCCGTGGCGCCGGCCCAGGTGGAACTCCCCGATGTAGATGTGGCCCCGGGGGTGCCGCCACTCGCCGGTGCCGTGGAACAGATCGTCCTGCCACTGGCCATCGTACGTGATCTTGGTGGAGTAAATGCAGATCCCATCGCCGGAGCGCTGTGTGTGTGTGTGTGTGTGTGTGTGTGTGGGCACGGCATGGGTGCGGGTGTTGTGACGGCGCGCGTCGAGGAGGTGCCGTCCAGCCACGACAACGAGACGCAGAGGCAGAGACAGAGGGAGAGAGAGAGAAAGCGAGGGGCAGAGGGATGGATGGGGGGAGGACCGGGTCAGACACCGTGGTTGTGGCGCGGTGCGGCGCGCCCCCCGATGCCCGGGGGCGTCTTTCGCCAATGCAACGTACCACATCGAAAGCAAACGACCCCTCATAGTGGTCGCCATTTGCGTAGAGCTGCTCGCCATGGTGGTGGCGCAGATCTGACAGCCAGCCACCCTGGTAGAATTCCTCCGGCAGCGGCCCGTCCAGGCGGCCGATGCCCTGGCGCTGCAAAGCCCATCGAGCGTGCAGTCGAGTGAGGGAGGAGGAAATCAGCATGGTGCGACTGTCGATGCTGCTTAACTGGCAAAATGCGAGAGAGGGGGGGGGAGGCGAGGGCACAGAAGGCCCAGGCACGCACCTGGTCCGAGCGCCAATCCCCATGATACACGGAGCCGTCGGCATAGGTCATCGTGCCGTTGGGGCCATGACGCAGGCCGGCCTTGAAGGGCCCGACATACTTCTCGCCATTCGGGTAGACCAGTTCGGCATTCGGCCCGTCGAAAAGCGACTGACGGAAGGGCCCCCGATAGGACGCGCCATTGGTGCACACCAGCGTGCCGGCGCCCTCGATCATGTCATTCTTCATGAAGCCGGTGAACATGTCGCCATTGGCAAAGGAAATGGTGCACTATGGGCGGTGGAGGAGGGGAGGAAGAAAGCCGAGACGCAGGAATGGAGTCAGTGCATGTTGGGCGGGCCCAGGCGGGGGCGTGGGCGCGAGAGGGGAGGCGAGCCGGGGGAGCCGGGGCACATGAAGCAAGTGGGGATGCCATACCGGGCCATCCTTCTGGCCGCGGCGCCAGTTCCCCTCGAAGATGTTGTCATCCGTGAGGGTAAGCTTGCCATGGCCATCTGCACCGGGGAGGAGACCGAAGGCGGGGGAGCGGGGCACAGGCAGGGAGATGTGTGAGTGCAAGGGGAGGGAGGAAGGAAGGCAGCATTCGCAGCGAGCCGGAGGAGCAAGGTGCCAAAGGCCCGGCGGCCGGGCGACGCACGCTGAAGATCGCGCTTCCAGTTGCCTTCATACTCTTCGCTGGTGCTGTAGGTCATCTTGCCGCAGCCATGGCGCAGGTCATTGCGCCACTGGCCCTCATACACGGTGTGGTCCTGGTACACCAGGCGGCCGGTCCCATGGCGACGACCATTCTCAAAGTCGCCCTCATACACGGACCCGTCGCGGTACTTGAAGGTCCGGCCAATGCGCTTGCCTGGGGGGTGTTGGAGTGTGCATGTCAGAGGGGGGCGGCCGGGCGGGGGGCGGCTGTCTTGTGTGCGTGTAAAGATCCCCCTCTCCGGGGCTCTCGCTCCCTCTCGCTCGCTCATTCGCCCGGAGCCTCTTGCTCTCGGCCGACCCCGGCCCCAGAGGAGATAAGCCGGCAAGGGGAGGGGAAATGGGCAAACACATCAGAAGGGGGCCAAACGCACGGAGCTGGTTCTCAGGCACATTGAGAGAGGCGGCGATGGTCTTGCGCAGGGCGGCCAGCCACAGGCGCTTGTTGTTGGCCGTCCCGGCGTAAATGGTGTATGGGCGCTCCGGGGTGAAGATCTCAATGGCATCATGGTTATCTTGCAGACACGAGGAGAGGGCACGAGACAGGCAGCGAGAGGGGCGCCAGGGTCAGTCGACGGGATGCAAGCGAAGGGAGGTGGCATGGGCGAGGCCCGGTGTGCATGCGTGCGTGTGTGTGTGTGTGTGTGTGTGTGTGTGTGCGTGTGCACGCGCGCGCACTGGTTTGCGGATCCAAATCCACCAGATCGTCCACCCACAGCACGTCCACCGGCAGGACCAGCTCCACGTCGGCCTGGTTGAGGGAGGTGGTGAGGGCGAAAACCAGGCAGTCCTTGAAGAGCAAGGCTCGATAGGGCTTGCGCGGGGTGGTCAGCGCCAGCGGGCCATCGCGGATGAGAGACCGACCGCGCTCGCTTGACAGGAGCGACGCCAGCCCCTTGATGTTGGTGCTGATTTCCTGCAAGCGCCGGGCCGACTCGCTCTCCTGCATGGACCGATTGACATCGGCCGCCATGTCGACGAAGCGCGCATGCACCGCGCTCAGGGACTCCTGCCCGGCCGACCCGGCCGACGTCTTGTCCAGCAGCTCGCGGAAGAGCAACGGACACCGGGTAATCCGCTGGACCGGCGTCAGCAGCAGGCTGTTGAGGGTGAGGTTGGCACAGCGCGGCTGGGCATAGGCGTCGGCCAGGAAGTCCTTCAGCTCGCGCCGGCGCTTCTCCAAGTGGGTCAAGTCGGCGATGGCACTGTCAAAGTTGTTGCAGTACACCGGATACAGCAGCGGAAAGCGCGGGAGCAGCTGGGACAGGCACTCGCCGAAAATCCGAGCCCCATTCTCATCGTCCCATTGGTGCAGGGCATGGGACATTTTCTGTCACACGCGCAGGCACAGGCGCGGGCGCCCGCGGCGCAGGCATGGGCATAAAAGGGGCCGAGGTGAGAAGGGCCATAGGGGAGGAGGGCAGGCCCAGGGGAGCAGGCCAAAGGCAGGTACAGGAGGGCAGGCACCGGGGAAGACCCCCAGAGGCAGGGGCAATGTCGGGGGCACGCACCGCCAGGACCTCCACATGGAAGTCGTAGATGCGCTCGACATTGGCGAAGATCGACAGGACCTCGGCCTCGGTCATCCAGCCGAGCGGCATGCCCGGCGGCGGGCCGAAGTCCTTCGGGCCGATGCTGACCACCGAGGAGGACCGCCTGCCGGAAGTGGCCCCGCTGCTGGCCGAATCGAAGGACCCGATGGAGGACGACGTCCTCAGGCTGCTGAGGTCCCCGGAGGCCGAGGGGGTGGTGGTCATGCCGGCCACCACCCGCAGCGGCATCAGGAAGCACTGGAGGATCGTCTGCAGCACCGACACATATGTCTGCTCGGTGGTGTAAATCTCGTAGATGATCTTTTTCTGGGCACTGGTGGCGAAGGAGGTCGGCACGGGGACGTGCTCGATCGGGCCGGAGGGGGCCGGGGCCGGGGCCGGGGCCGGGACCGCGGCGGCCGTCGTGGCCGCCGCCGCCGCCGCCGCCGCCGCCGCCACGGCCACCGGGCTCGGGGGCGGGATGGGGGCCGTCTCGGGCGCCGGCGCCACCTCGCGGGGGTTGAGCATCAGCGGGCTGTTGTGGAAGGGCGACGACACGGATGCCGGGATGAGGCCCGGCTTGGGCGGGGTCCCGACCGCCGGGGCGCTTGGCTCCTCGGCGGCCGCCACAGCGGCTCCCTCCTCCGACTCGCCGGGGCGCTGGGTAGCCGGCCGGGCGGTGACCGGCGGCGCGGGCCGCGCAAAACGCTGGACCCCGAGCGGGGTCCCGGGGCCGAAGTTCCGCACAGGTGCCGGGGAGGGGGCCGGCGCGGCCATGGCGCTCGGCGAGACAGAGGCCGAGGGGGGGGCGGTGGTGGCGGCGGCGGCCACAGCGGCGGCCGTGGCCACGGGCGACGCGGGCACCGCCGGCGGCGGCGGCGAAGTCGACAGGGGCTCGGTAGTCACCGACACCGGGTGGGCCGCCGGGCCGGGGGGGGCCCCACGTCGCGGAGGCACTGGCGGGGGGAGCATCGGGCAGGGCCAGGCGGGCTGGGAAGGGACAGCAAGAGGCAGGGAAAGGGCGAAGCACGGAAGGGCAGCGGGGGTGCGGAGGGGGGGGCGGGGGCGGGGGCGGGGGCGGGGGCGGGGGCGGGGGCGGGGGAGGGCGCTCGTTGTGTTCTTCTGGGTGGCAGGGGCTCGGGGGGGATCTTTTTTTCGGGTCGCACCCCAAGAAGGCGCGGGGACAGTGCCGGCCGGGGGTAAACAAAGGCGATGCCGGACGCGAGCGCGGGCCCAAGAGGCACCTTCTTGCCGCCGGCTGGGCCGGCCTGGAATCCGCCGGCCCAATTTGGTCGCCAAAAATCCAATGCCCAGACATTCCCCCGGTCCCGGAAACCAGTTCCACCCCCCGTCACCCCACACCGGGGCGGGGTCGTCTGCCGGCTCGGTCAGCCTTCTCTCTCTCTCTCTCTCTCTCTCTCTCTCTCTCTCTCGCTCTCCCTATCTCTGTCCCTCTCTCGCTCGCATGCCGCCCGGTTGTTGCGGCTTGCCTCGGGCCCGCACTCGCCCCGGCATGCGGAGCCCAGACCGGCACCACCTCCCGTGCGTGCGTGCGTGCGTACTCCGTACAAAGGACCGGGCAGGGAACCGGCCCGGGGGAGGTGGAACAGGAAAGCCGAGCCGGCGGACGAAAACAACAACCGATCGGACCCATCACGTGACCGGAAGTCATCGCGGCCACATTGCCCCCGCAGCCGGCCGCACACGCACACACACACGCGCGCGGGGCGCTCTGTCCGTTCCCCCCCCCCGCCCAAGGCGGAGCCCCAGCCACGGCAGGGGGAGGGATCCTGGTGGCGGCCATCCTCCTGGCTGAAGAGACGATGGATGCCGCGCGGGCGGGCCGGCGGGCGGAGGGGGGGGGGGGGGGGGGGGGATTTCGGCCGGGGCGTCGGCCGGTCCCCTGGCCGAGGCCGGCGGGCATAGTCCCCTCCCAGTCGACCTCCTGCCTCTGCCTGCTCTTGCGCCGCCTTGCCCCTCTCGCCTCTTCCCCCTCCCCCTCCCCCCTGTCCGCTGTCCTCTGCCCCCTCCATCCATCCCCGCCCGCGCGCAGCATGTCCTCCCGGGGCCGGTCGTCAAATGGGTCGGGCGCCCCGCCGACCAACAACCCCCGGCTCAATGCCGTGCTCAGCAACTTGAGCAAGTTCAACAACGCACGGTCGATCTCCAAGGAGATGCTCCAGGAGGTGGAGCGGTTCGGTGCGTGCCCGCTTCCGCCATCTCACATGCATGTCCCTCTCGATCTCGGGGGATTTGGCCGCTGACAGGTTGCCCCCCCCCCCCCCCCCCCCCCCCCCCCCCCCCCCCCCCCCCCCCCCCCCCCCCCCCCCCCCCCCCCCCCCCCCCCCCCCCCCCCCCCCTGCCGGCCGGGTTGCAGCCACCGCGGACTACGCCGGCCAGCAACTCAAGCGCTATCGCAAGACTCAGATCCTCAAGGCCGGCGGCAAGGTCGGCAAGGTCCACAATGTCCCGATGAATGTGGGCCTCGGTCACCGCCAGGCCCAGTATGGCCGTGAGCTGAAGCAGCACCAGGCCGTGCGTTGTCCCTGGGTGATTGTTTTTTTTTTCTTTCCTCTTCTGCCTCCCCTTTGCATATGTTTCCCTTGCCTTCTCTCTTTCGCCATTCCCCTTGTGTGTGTGCGCACACACTCATGAATGCACGTGGCGCCGCCTCTCCCCCTGACACCTCTCCTCCCCCTGACACCTCCCCTCCCCCTGGCCATACAGAGCCTGGAGGCCGGTAACCTCACCTCGAAGCATGCGCCCACCCTGAAGCGTGGTCGCGAGTCCTCCCTGGCCGGGGAGATGCGCCGCCAGGGTGGCGACATCGGGTCCCGCACGCGCTTCGGCAAGTTTGTCGACGGTATTTTCCACATCAGCGAGCACACGCGCGTCAAGCACGAGCGCGAGATCCGGCCACCGTCGGCCGACAAGCTGCGCGGGGGCAAGTCCGCTGGCAAGGCGTCCAAAAAGGCCTCCGGCGGCAAGAAGAAGAAGAAGTTCCGTCGCTGAAGGCGGACAGACGGATGGGCCGGTGTGCCGGCTCTTCTCGACCTCCGCTCGCATGGCTGTCCGGATATGTGGCACGCACGCACGCGCGCGCACGTCCTTCCCCCTTCGCCTGGTCCAACCCCTTGTCCTTGATTTTTCCCTCTTCTTCCCCGGGCCGGGGGGATGTGCATGCACATCCGCCCCGCGTCCATCCTGGTGGTGTCCCCCCCCCCCATGTTTCGCGGCCATCCTCGCCAACCATAGATCAGAAAAATGTGTCCGTCCCTCTCTTGGCCCTTGTGTGACCGCTTCTCCGCCTTGTCACAGCCTTGTGAGTGGCCACTTTCTTCCCCCTTGCCTGGTACTCTCCCCCCTCTTCCGGTGGCTATCAAGACATGTGCCTGGAGATATACACGCATGTCCATGCGCATATATATATATATATAGGCCGATCATCTGTCCATATGCATGCACATGCGTGCGCATGTATGTGTGTCTCATGCCGCCGGCCGTCGGGGGAGGTCTCTCCTCCAATGTGCGCACATATCGGCCAAGGAGGAGGAGGGAAAGGGGGAAGTACTCTATTTTGGTTTCTACATGGTTTTTTTTTTTTGGGCGAAGGCGAGGGACAAGGCAGCGGACGAAGAGCGGCGGAGCGCTAGACACACACACACACACACACAGACACCAGGGCGCACGGTCTCTGCAAGGTGAAACACCCCACGCGACAGATGCGTGCCGCGCATGGTCCGGCTCGCATGTGTTGTTCACCCGGATACATGGTGCATGTGTGTGTGTGTGTGTGTGTGTGTGTGTGTCTCGCGTCTCGACGCAGAGCCGGCGAATGGGAGATGATGCTGGCGCAGCACACGAGCGCGCCAAAGAGGCGGGGGGACAAGGCGCTGCACACGCGCGGGCTCGTTCGAATGCGAGGCACGCAGGATGGCCAGGAGGGGAGGGTCTCCAGGGCGGGCGCGGAGAGCAGGGCCGAGGGGCAGTTGGGTGGTCCCCTCCTCGGGCGGGCGCCCCCCGGTCGTTCTCCCTGTCCCCTGCCGCCCCATGGCGGGCCTCGCTCCCTGCCTTTCTCTCCGGGTCGCCATCTCCGACTCTTTCTCACTCTGCCGCCTCAGGCTTTTAAAGCAGCATCAGGCCCACTGCAGCCAGGCTGCCAACAAGGGCCGACGCTAGGCCGGAGTAGGACGAGCGCCCGCGAGCCAGGACGCTCCCGGCGTCGTTCGACAGCTCGGAGTACCCGCGCGACTTGCCCTGAATAGACCACAGCTCGGTGTCCCGGCCATCCGGGAAGAGGTCATCCACGGTCTGGTCCACCTGGTTGGGACGAAGCTGCTCGTTGGGGAGAAGGTCCTCTTGGCTGCTGCCGCAACCGACCTGCACCCATTCGGACTTGGTCTGGAGAGGCGTGCGCGCACCACCAATGGGGGGGGGGCATATGCCGCGAGAGTGGGAGGTCAGTTTCTTGATCAATACCCATGCGCCCAGGGCCATGGGAGAGGGTGTCTGTGCGCGTGTGTGGCAAGGGGGCAGGGGCAGGGGGGGGGGGCGGGGAGGAGGAGGGCGGCGGATGGCAGCTGGGGCACAGGCCGGCTGGCGGGATCGCCGGACATGCGCGCCATGCGGGGAAGATGATGACGCACCTGGTCGAGGCGGAATAGGCAAAGGGTGCTGGTGCCGGAGGTCCGGTCGTTCTCCAGGTCGGGGGTGTGGGTGTGGCGGAAGCGCACGCCGGCCGCCTCGTTGCCCGTGTCGTTGGGCTGGGCCCACCGGCGCCAGGTGACGTACTTGAGGATGGACTGGCCATTGCGTGCCAGCGGGATGTTCCGCTTGTTGATGGTCTCGAGGGCCAGCGGGGGCAGATCGTTGGACACGATCATGGAGAAGCTCACCGCATCGGGGCCCTTCTGAAGCTCACCATCGTCCGGAATGCTGCCGCTGGCGCTGGAGTGGCTGCCGCTGGCGCTGGAGTGGCTGCCGCTGGCGCTGGAGTGGCTGCCACTCTCGTGCTGACTGCCACTATCGTGGTGGCTGCTCTCGCTAGAATGGCTGTCGCTCTCATGGTGGCTGCCGCTGGCGCTGGAGTGGCTGCCGCTGGCACTGGAGTGACTGCCGCTGGAGTGACTACCGCTGGAGTGACTACCGCTGGAGTGGCTACCAGTCTCATGGTGGCTACTGCTGTCATGGTGACTGCTCTCGCTAGAATGGCTGCCGCTAGCGCTGGAGTGGCTGCCGCTGGAGTGGCTACCACTCTCATGGTGGCTGCTGCTGTCATGGTGGCTACCGCTAGAGCTGCTGCCGCTCTCGGGAGCGGCGCTGCTGCTGTGCTCAGCGCTGCCGCTGGAATGGCTGCCGCTGGAATGGCTGCCGCTGGAATGGCTGCCACTCTCGTGGTGGCTGGTGCTCGAGCTGTCACTATCCCCCGGAAGGGTGCTGCTGCCGTGCTCAACATCGCTGCCACTCGCGTGATGGCTGCTGCTCTCCGACTGCCCGCTGCCGCCGCTGCCGCCGCTGCTGCCAGTAGAGCCGCTGTCCGTGCTCTCATGACCACTGGAGTGGCTACTCCCCTCATGGTGGCTTCCACTGGCATGACTGTCGCTGGCATGGCTGCCACTGGCATGGCTGCCACTGGCATGACTGTCGCTGGCGTGAGTGCTGCTGTCAGGGTGGCTTTCGCTGGAGTGGCTTCCACTAGAGTGGCTACTCCCCTCATGGTGGCTCCCACTGGAGTGGCTCCCACTCTCACCAGGGCTGCTACCCTCAGCATGACTGCCACTGCCATGGCTGCCGCCGGAGTGGCTGCCACTATGGTCACCGGCCTCATGCTGGCTGCTGCTGCTGCCGGCCTCGACGGCGGACCCGGATGCACCCGAGGCCGGGTCGTCGCGCGCCACACGCGCGGCCCCGGCCGGCGCAGATGGACGGATGTAGGCCGTCACATCGACCACCGTCTTGCCGGGGTAGTAGAATCGCCGCTGGGCGGAGTCCCCGCCGGCCGACGGCCCGGCCGAGCCATCCAGGCCCACATCGCGGCGCTCACCGAACAGCGCATACACCGGGGCATCGGCCGCGGCCATGGCGTAGGACCACCAGCGGGTTTCCGGCGGCAGGGTGGCATGCACACGGCCGTCGGCCCCGAGGGCCGCATCGGCCGGCAGCAGGGCCGTGCTGACCCACCCCTGGTCGCGATCCGGGCGGATGGTCCACACGCGCTGCTGCTCGGAAAGGGTGTAGAAGCGCGGCAGCTCGTCCCCCTTGCCGGGGCCCGGGGCCGGGTCGAGCAGCTGCCCGGTGGCATTCAGGGCCGCCATGGCCTGGACATCCAGCGGCTGGGAGATGGACCAAATTTCCGCGGCCCCGGTGGCCGACAGGGGGATCGGCCCGCGGTTCGGGTCGTCGGACAGCCGCGGGGCCGCGGCCGTGGGGCCGCGCGCGGCCGAGTGCCCCGGCCGCCGGGCCGGCCGGAAGTAATCCAGCGAGAAGCCAATCGGCCGGACGCCCTCCAGGGCCTGACGCGCGCTGGGCCGCATGCGCAAGTCCGCATAGTGCTCATACAGGTCCAGGAAGGAGTCCAGGCTGGCGGACCCGGGGGACTCGTCGCCCGGCCGCGGCAGGTGGTCCTGCGCGCTGACCACCAGCACCGGCTCATGGAGGGCCGTCAGCTGGAAGCGATTCGGCACCCGGGCATTGATGAAGCCCACCTCGGCCCCGCCGTCGAAGCGGAAGTTCTGCATGATGTCGGCCTCCGGGTTGTATGCCAAGTCGCTGGGCTCGCCGATCAGGGTCGACCGGCTGACCACCTGCAGGCCGGTGCCCAGGTCGTGCGAGGACTCCGTGTCCCGGGGGGTGGTGTAGGTGGCAAAGAGGGACGTGTGCGACCGGTTGGGCAGGGGTCCCGGGGTCCGGGCCCCGGCCACCTGGCTCAGGGCCAGGACCGACAGCAGCGACGCCGCGAGGGCCTTCCTGCCGGCGCGCCCGGGCTCGGGCGTGTCACGGTGCCGGGTCATTTTCCTGCGGGAGGGGGGGTGGGAGGGGGGCCTGTCTGTGGCCCGGCGGGGCGCGCGAGGAGCGACCGGGCGCGCAAGGGGGCGGGACAATTAGTTTGGTGGTTGTGCGGAGGCAAGTGGCGCTGCTGGCCCGGAGAGGGCGCTCGGCCATGTGCGCGGTCGCAAGCGAGCGGCGCGGGCGCGCGTACCAGGGGCGTTTGTCCGGTCCAGGGGCGGAGAGGAGGGGCGGGGGGGGGGGGGGGGTTTCGGCAAAGAAGAGGGCAAGTGGGGCCTGG